TGATCTTCATATCTTAGTCTCTGAGTTCTGGGATTACAGGCCTGTTCTGATGACACCAAGTGACTTAGTGTCTCCTCCCCGAGATCGGGAGTTAGTCACACTGAGTTCTAAAATCTTTGTTTGCCGACTATGGATTCCCACTGTCTCAGCAGATGAAAACTCAAACTGCTTTCAGTCAAAAAAGTCCCCAAACTGAAAGTCTTCAGAAACTTTCATAACAATATAATGATTACAATTACAGAAATAATTTTATGTCTGCTGACTCTACTAACAAGACCTGTGGGATTGCATTTTCTACACCCCCCACACACACACTTCATTTCATTTTTGCCAATGTACTGGTCTGGACTGGAATAAAAATTTAAAACAAAAATAACCCTCAGCCAATCAACCTAAAATCCCACTCTGGCCATCTGTATCTACTTCATTCATCAAGCGTAAACTAGTAAAAGAGGTTTAACCTATTTCCGCAGCACTGTTACCAACTGCCAGAGAAAGCTGCTCCTTAGCAACTGAATCTAAAGCACACAGGATGCCACACACGACCTCATTTATGGAAGGCGAGCTGTGGCCTCTTTTACAAGTCTAGCTTTTCACTTCCCCATATGCTGAAAAATTAGCATCTTCATTACCATAGTTATATATAATTAATTTGACAATTAAAATTTGCCCTTTGTTGTTGTTTCCTAAACCAAAAATTCATGAAGGTACAGTCAGTCTCCAAGCCTAAGGGCAAAGGACGCCACACAAGCATGGAGAAAGGCGGTTTGTGGATGAGGAGAAAGTGAGGTGACATCAACGTCAGACCCTTTTTAATGGTCAGTTGTAACAAGTGGACTTTGCTACACCAATTTCACCACTAATTTCTAACACTAATGCTGGTTAAGAATTACTGGTTCCATCGCTCATCTGGTTTTATTTCTGTTCTGAGAAATTCTTCAGACAGGCATGGAGGGGCACATCTTTAACCCCAGCTTTAGGGAGGCAGAGGTAGGTGGATCCTTGTGAATTCAAGGCCAGCCTGGCCTACAGAGAGAGTTTCAGGACAGCCAAGGGTATACAGAGAAACCTTGTCTCAAAAAACAGCCAGGCGGTGGTGGTGCACACCTTTAACCCCAGCACTCTAAAGGCAGAGGCAGGAGGATCTCTGAGCCAGTCTGGCTTACAATGTGAGTTCCAGGACAGCCAGGGTTGCTACACAGAGAAACCCTGTCTCGAAAAACCAAAATAAATAAACAAAAATTTAAAAAACCAAGTTTGAAAAAAAGAAAACTCGCCAGGCATGCTAGTACACTCCTTTAATCCCCAAACTAGGGAGGCGGATCTCTGTGAGTTCAAGGCCAGCCTGGTCTACAAAGTGAGTTCCGGACAGCTAGGGCTGCTAAACAGAGAAATCCTGTCTCGCAAAACAAAAACAACAGAAAGAAGGCCAAAAACCAAGCTATAAATTGCTTACTTGAATTTTGTCCCAATTACTAAGCCTGGTGGTGCACACCTTTAGCCTTGAGAGGTAAAAGCAGGCAGATAGATCCCTGTGAGTCTGAGGCCAGCTAGGTCTACAGAGAGAGTTCTAGACCAGCCAGTGCTATATGATGAGGTCTTGTCTCAAAACAACAATAAAAAACCTAAATAAATTTTACATCAATTAAATATTTAAATATAAAAATCAATCCAAGCCTCACAAATGTAACCCTAATAATGCCAATACAATTCTAACACATAAGAAAATATATTGGGACTGGGGAGATGGCTCAGTGGTTAAGAGCACTGGGCTCTTCCAGAAGATCTGAGTTCAATTCCCAGCACCCACATGGTGAAAAATATTTTAAAAGGAAGAAAATATGTTAGAGGAAAAACAGGAGGTTCAGAAAGCCTAGGCAGGAAAGTGATCCAAAAGTGAGGCTTCACTGGTCGAGAACTGTGTGACATGTCACCTGCTGTCCAGCTCTATCCAACTGCTACCTTGACAGAAGACAGGAAACAACAATAACAAATATTTAAACACGCTAATCTAACAGTAAGTCTGTGGGCTGGATCTGTCCATGAGCTACGTAGTACATGTACTATGTACCTATGCCACGACAGTGGCTGAGAACGACTCTGAGTCAGAGCAGCTCTCACTCCAACATATTTGATGAACTTTTCCAAGTCACACAGCCTTAGCTCCGTGAGTCTGCTGTGAGTTTTGCTTTGTGACAGTGCTAGGTACCAAACCTAGGCCTTGTACATTCTAGGCAGACACTACTATTGGCCAGACCCCAGCACTTTCAATGAGTCAAGATATATATACATATATATATATATAAACTTTTTTTAAAAGAGTATTATCGTTACAGTTGGACAGATGGCTCAGCGGGTAAAAACACTACCTGCTCTTTCAAAGGACCCAACTGTGGTTCACAACCCTTTGTGACTCCAGTTCCAGAGGACTCCATGACTTCCTCTGGCCTGTAATGGTACACAGACACACATGTAGGCAAAATATCCATACACATATCATTATATCCCAAAGGGCACAGTGAAAAAGACAATGGAAAAGGAAGAGACAAGTCGGAGCAAAGCGCTCCTCCTCCCTGGCTGAAGGCTGTTTATCCTTCCACTCACCACCTTTCCACAGCAGGCTTTCCACCAAAGCTGTTTCCTCCGACTCTCTTCAAGGCTACCTCACGCCCCATCTATACCTCATCTTCCTTTAAGAATATCAGTCCTTTTCAGGAACAGAACTCAGGCAAGGGCTTCTTTTAGTGCTGACCTCGAGGACAAAACCATGAAATTCTCTTGAACGGTGTACTTTTTTTCTCCCTAAACCTTTGAGCACTGCGCACATAGGGAACTCTTTGGTGACAATCTAAAGAATGGAGGTGCGGATCTTTCCCTCCCCCTCGGCTAACCTCTCAAAGGGAAGACAACCTAACAAAAAACCAAAGCATCCAAACATAGTAGCCAAAAAGTTTATTTCTAAGCAAACAGGTGTGAAAATAATGGCAGAATGTCCATTCCAATCCTTGGCTTCTTTGAAAGGAAATGATAAGAACATCTAACTTTAGTTGTTTTTCCCCCCCTTACACTGATTGTAGGCTGGCAACCTAAGCTTTCCTCAAAAAGCATTCACAACCTCTCAAGAAATTATTCTACTGACTTTGACTCACATGGACAGTCAATAGTCTCCATATGTTTTTATCTGGTATCTTGTTTCATTGAAACCTCTGGCGACCACCAGAATGTAACTATGGTGTCTCTCTCTAGAAAAATGCACAGAGCCCCAATTTTATATATAGTTTTCAGACAAGTCTGAACATTCCTGCTTCTTCAGCGGGCTATCCATCACTCTCGGTTAAGATTTATTTATAGGGCCCAGCACTCGAGAGGCAGAAGCAAGCGGATCTCTGTGAGTTCGAGGCCAGCCTGGTCTACAGAGTGAGTTCCAGGACAGGCGCCAAAGCTATAGAGAAACCTTGTCCACAGCTACACAGAGAAACCCTGTCTGGAAAAAACAAAAACAGACGAAACAAACGAAAGATTTATAGGGCTGAACGCGAACTTCGTTTCTACTATGAACTGCTAAATATCTTTTCCTTAAAAAGACCTTAGAGCTGAGAAACAGCTTCCCTGCAAATATCACTGGCTAGCACCGTCCTAACACTTGGCAAAAAAAACCAAAACAAAACAAAAAAAAAAAACCCGGAGAATTTCTTACCTCTGAGAAATTAACAGCCAAAGGAATGATTCCAGCCACGTAACATCCCACCAACATTGCCAAAGACAGCAGACTAATGGAGAGAAAATCATCCATTCTGCCCTCCTGCAGGTAATCTCTCCCACCAGGTTTCAAAATTCCAGCGGTCTGAAAAGGCGCTTAGGCTCTTTAAACGTGTGGGGTTTTTTTCCCAAGAAAACAAGGGAGTTTCGCACGTCTCTCAACCTTGCCACCAGTCGGTGTGTTCACGAAGCACGCTGCTCTCGAACGCACTAAGACGCAAGCTCCTTTTTGCTGATACTAGCACCAGAGAAAACTTTGCGAAATCTCAGGCTCTTGGACGCCAGTCACCGGGATTCCGGTGGGTGACAGATGGAGAGATTGCGCGAAAGAGATCTCTTCAATCTTCGGAATGAGGGTGCCACAACGACCCACGCCCCTAGGCAGTGTATCTGGTTGCAGCAGGAAAAAGGTAAAGCCCAAGTGTCTTCTTCCCAGGCGGCACCTGGTTCCCTAGGGTGGCCCCCGCAGGTGATCCGCCCCCAGGGAAGGGACCAGCCCACCAGTCCCAGCAAACTCCCTTCCAAGTCTAGGGTCGAGCAAGCTATCCTGCAAGTCTCTAACGGCGGGCCCCGAGGACTCAGCAGCAAAGTCGATACAAGGCTGTCCCTGCCCTCCACGGGGTGCTGCCCATGGTACTTCCCTCAGCCAGGCCCTGACCCTCAGTCGCCAATAGTACAGCGGCCATGGCCGCCAAGTGGCACCTCTTCTTTACTCCCACTTCCGGATTGTCTGACCGCCCCCTCAGGCAGGGCACTTCCGGGTTACAACCGACCTATAAGCCGCGGTACGTATATTGCCGCCATTTTTTTAGAAAGGCTTTTTTAAAAAGAGACCGGTATCACCGTTACGTTCTCCATCACTTTAGCTACCTGGCTGCTTACTGAAGCACAGAAAGCAGCGTCCCGAAGCAAACTACTGTCTCTAAAGCGGCAAAAATGTCTCTTACACAGCTCAGAGCCCTTACCCAAGATGGCTAAAACGGCGTCAATATCCGCTCTAGAAACCGGAAATGTGTGAATCTCTGTGGTCAAAAAGGCTCTTTCGCGTCGCGCTTCAGGCCATTTCCGGCGGCTGCTCTCGCGGGATTGGCTGTTGGCGGCGTTGCGGCTGAGCTCGTGTGCGACGGCGGCGGTGGCGGCGGTGGTGTTAGCGGCGGCTGCAGCAAAGCATCTGACGAGATGGTGAGGCCCCAGCGCTTGCCGGGGGTCCTCAACTTCGAGGGGCACCCCTGCTCCCGTACATCTTCCCGTCCCTCCTGTCTCCGCCCATCCAGCGCGAGCGAGCTGCTCCCCGCCCCCCACGCTCACGCTCAGGGGTCGACCCTTCCCCTTCCCGACGCCGAGACGCGGGGCCTGACTGTAGGCCCCGGACCTGGTCCGCCCTGCGGCTGCGCGCCCGCCGGCTGCTGGGAGCGAGCTGTGCGGAGGGCAGAGGATGCACCGTTTGAGGATGGCTGCCGGGAAGAGGGAGGCGTGGAGTGCCCCTTCTTTCTCTCCAGATGCACTAGCGAGCCGTTGGGACAATAGCCGGGTGACGTGTGTCAGACCTATGACTGAAATTGACAAACTCGCCGCCTTGCTGTTCGCCGAACGTGGGGTGAGGGGGGAGGGGTTGGATTTGCTTTGCGTCCTCAGCGGTCCCCGCAGGTTTTTTTTTTTCTTTGCATGTTTATTTGGTTGGTTTTTTTTTTAAAGTATTTCCCTTTTTTCGGTATCCTCAGTTGCCCCGGTTTGGCAGGTCCGTCCGCCTTCAGTTTTGTTCTTAAATTTTCTTGAGAGTGGAGCCTGCACAGACCCCAGGGTCTATAGTCTATCGTCCGACAGGGATGCTAGGGAACTGTGGTTTCTCCGTTCTGTAAAGGCTTTTGTTTCACTTGGTACATTATGTGTCTGTGTTTGTGCGTGCGAGTACAGGTGCCCGCTGAGGCCAGAAGAGGGTGTGAGGTCCCCAGGATCCACCAGGATCGTGAGTGGCCGATGTGGGTGCTGGGAACCAAACTCTGGTCCTCCGTGAGCGTAGCACGTGCTCTTAACTACTGGGCTGTATCTTTAACCCTCTCGTTGTGGTTTTGCTTTGGGCGGGGGCGGGGGGGCGGGGGTCTTAAGAGATTCTTTTTTTCTGTGTATTGGTGTTTTGCTTGCATGTCTGTGTGCCACTTGCATGCAGTGCCTGCAGCGGACAAAAGAGGGTGTCCTGTCCTGGAATTGGGGTGATTATGAGCGGCCCTGTGGATGCAGGGAATTGAAAAACTGGTCTCTTGCAAGAGCAACTTGTGCTCTTAATTTAACCTCAGCCATCTCTCTAGTACCCCAGCTCGCCTGGGAGAGGTTCACGGGTTTTTAGTTGGAGCAGGATTTCTGTGTGTGTGTGTGTGTGTGTGTGTGTATTTGTGTGTACACTTTTCAAACATTACTATTTAAAATTATTCCTTAATTTGCCTTAAAATTTTAAAAATGTGGCAAAGAATAGCTTGTCTAGGATAAACCGTTACAAGAGTACAACTATAGTTCTCTTAAGACTTTTTTTTTTTTTTTTTTTTTTTTAAATTTCGAGACAGGGTTTCTCTGTAGCTTTTTGGTTCCTGTCCTGGAACTAGCTCTTGTAGACCAGGCTGGCCTCGAAGTCACAGAGATCCGCCTGGCTCGTAAGACTTTTTTGCTTCACAAGTGACATAGTGAAGTGCTTTGAGTAGCTGGCCTTTATGAACCTGTATAAAACAAATTAGTCCCACGCTTTCTCTGGCTATCGATCAAATCACTAACATTGTTCATGTCAGTACAGGTGAAAATTAGTGTTTCCTTTGTTACCAACTTAAGAATTTTGCCTCAAGCCGGGCGATGGTGGCTCACGCCTTTAATCCCAGCACTCGGGAGGCAGAGGTAGGCGGATCTCTGTGAGTTCGAGACCAGCCTGGTCTATAGAGCTAGTTCCAGGACAGGCTCCAAAGCCACAAAGAAACCCTATCTCGAAAAACAAAACAAAAAAAAAAAAAAAAGAAAGAATTTTGCCTCAAGTCTTAAACTTAGTCCAAACAGCTCAAATCTTGCTGGGGTGCGGGAAAATATAGTGCTTTCTTTGGTATATGAAATTTGAAAGTTTTTGTTTTAATCCAGAAAACCTAGCTTTCAAGACATCTCAGTTCCAATTTGTTGACAGTTAAATTTTTGGATCGTCTCACAACAGTTTGGGCATCCTGACATAGGAATAAACTGATTACATGGGGTTTGGTGAGTGGCTTAACCCCAGCACTCAGGAGGCAGAGGCGTCTCTGTGAAATCCAGGACAGCCAGGGCTACACAGAGAAACCCTGTCTTGGAAAACCAAAAAAGAAAAAAAGAAAAGAATTATTTTTTAGCCAGAAAACAAGATGAATAATTTAAAGATTGGACTTGCAGTGGAGTTGCATCAGGCATGGAAGACATTAGGTAAGGCCACATAATCCCAGTGGACCAGTGAGTCTGCGCTCCGCAGGATTCCTCACCTCAGGGACATTTGGAGACATTTTTGATGATTTATTCCTACTTTGAAAGGGTTGGTATTAGTGGCGTCTAATGAGTAGATGCCACACATTATCCTACAAGGCACAGGACAAACCCAAAGAATTCATTTCTGTCCCAAAGTATGAGAAGTCAAACCATGAAACTGACCCCAACACCTCCGCCCACCTCCAGTGAGCAGGAAAGGAACAGTTACAGTGTTTTAGGGTGCATTCACGTAGCTTGCAGTGTGGTAAGTGGTTTGGCTATGAGCTAGCTCCGTAAGGCAAGTCATCTACTAGGTTCAATAGTTTAATGGATTTTTTTTGTTTTAGGATAGTATTTACTAAATACATTTTATATTACTAATTTATCTTATACCTTGATGTGAAAGTAATTTCTGAATAAAAGTGTGTCTCCACTATTGTGTTCAAATTGTCAAAAGACCTTAGGTTGATGCAGTGATTATAGTATCCCTTTTCCTCCCTCTCTCTTTCTCAGCGTTAATAGAGCTGGAAACCAGTGGACAGGTTTTTGTGAGTACTTTCTGGCAGGTATATTTGGAGTTGGAGAAATGACCCAAAGTAACGTGCTGACTTAGGGGAGTTGTAAACCCAGCACTGATCACATACTTGGACAGCAGCATCCATATTGTGGGAAGAGCAACCTAATTAATTATGTTTTAATAACTAACATTCGTGTCATATACAATGTTGTGATTATGACTTTCTGAAATGCATATTAGGATATACATTGAAATTGTTTTTTCCCTTCAGTCTCACACCATTTTGCTGGTACAGCCTACCAAGAGGCCAGAAGGCAGGACTTATGCAGACTATGAGTCTGTGAATGAGTGCATGGAAGGTGAGTGGACACAAGAGCTAAACTGATCAAGAGGGAAATCTTGACGTCGCTGAATACACACACCATTCTCCCATGAGATAAATAGCATTTAAGAACTGCAATTGTTTTTCCCCCTAGATTTTTTTTGAATTACTATTTTAAACAGGGAAAATCAATTTTTAGCATGGAATATTAAAATATTTTATGACTTGTGGGAATTTGACATAGAGCTCTTATGTATTCTTGCTAAACTGTAGCACTAGAGAGCTGTTATGGCCTTCTCTGAAAATGCCTTATGAAACTTCATAACCTGCCTATTAAACTAATAAATGTTAAAAGCTAGCTGGGTGTAGTGAGTGGCGCACACCTTAATCCCAGCACTCAGGAGGCAAACACAGGCAGATCTCTATGACTTAAGGCCAACCTGGTCTACAGAGTGAGTTCCAGGATAACCAGGACTGTTACATCGAGAAAGCCTGTCATGAAAAACCAAAAGAAAAAAAAAAAGAAAACCCAGCCAACAAAAGCCCATGAGAATGTTGGAAAAAAATAAGTTAGCTAAGACAAAGCCAGGGTTCACAGAGTCAGATCAGTATGAATTATTGTGCGTTTGCTAAATTTTCACTCCACCCAGGGAACAATTAGCTCTTAATGTTTCTTCACTGGGTAAACTATTAGCACACAGACTATTCTTTGCAGTGTGGATTTGGTTTTGTGCTTAATCATTACAGCATGTTAACTGGTTGTGTTGCCCTACACTGTCTCTAGGAAGTTGTTCTTTGCCTCTTTCTATTAAAAGGTTATGTAGTTGCTTTCGTTTGGCTGCTCAACAAGTCCCTAAAACTGTTGATTATTCAGAACTGACTGGGTTAAGTTCCAAATCTAACAGCGATTAATAATGCCTATAAAAACAAAAGCTACTTATAATCGAAGGTGGCTTCAAAGTAGCTAGTGCAATACCCTTGGCACTGCCATCAAATTCTACTCTTAAAGATGAAATGGGGAGCCAGGAGGTGGTGGCACACACCTTTAATCCTAGCACTTGGGAAGCAGAGGCCTACCACTTTAACATAATGTCTCTAGGTCTGGGTTGTGGACAGTGGCCTTTCCTAGTCTTGGTTAATCTTAGTAAAGTCTAACTTTGTCTATTTATGACAGTTTTGATACCTACCCAGGCTATCCTAGAATGCAGGAGTCTCCTACTTTGACCTCTTTTGAGTACTGGGATTATAGATATGTACCACTGTGTCTGCCTCTGGTTTATTTTAATTAGTGTACTTTAATTGATGTATGGCTTTAGAATGCAATCCTCCCCCATTAATATCTTATATTGATGTGGTACAGTTGTTACAATGGCTGAAAAAGTCTAAAAATATTCAATACCTGTGGAATTTGTATTTCAGATCTTTTCAACCCATGGTTAATTAAATCCATGAATGCTGACACCACACACACCACGAACCCACTGTATCCGTTGCATACAAACTTTTTTTTTTGTTTTGTTTTGTTTTTCGAGACAGGGTTTCTCTGTGGTTTTGGAGCCTGTCCTGGAACTAGCTCTGTAGACCAACCTGGTCTCGAACTCACAGAGATCCGCCTGCCTCTGCCTCCCAAGTGCTGGGATTAAAGGCGTGCGCCACCACCGCCCGGCTCATACAAACTTTTTATACTGGTTTCTGCAACAAAGCAGTGTACATTTCAGGTTCTTCTATGTTTTATAACTGCCATTTTCTTTTTTAGGTTAGAAATTGTAGTTTATGGGCTTGGTGTAGCTCATTTTACAGAGTGACTTGTCTAGCATGTACAAAGCCTGAATTTATTCATTGGCACCCCATAACAGGTATGGGGTGTGTATTTGTAATTCCAGCACTTGGGAAGTAAAGGCAGGAAGATCAGAAGTTTAAGTTTATTCTCAGCTATAGTGAGTTCAAGGCTAGGCTGGGCTACACATGACACTGTTGAAAAGACAAAAAGTGGTGGTTTGGTTCCCACTTTTTTTTTTTTTAATTTTTTATGATTTATATAACTTTATGTGAATCGGTGTGAAGGTGTCAGATCCCCTGGAACTGGATTTTCAGACAGTTGTGAACTGCCATGTGGTTGTTGAGAATTGAACCCGGGTCCTCTAGAAGAACAATCAGTTCATAATCGCTGAGCCATCTCTCCAGCCCCCTAGTTCCCACTTTAGAAAGTTAAAAATCTCGCTGGTCATTACCATCATCGTGTATGCTAGCACTTAGGAGACTGAGGCAAGAGGCGTACAAGTTTGAAACCAGCCTGAGCTGGGTACTGGGTTGCTTTTTGATAAAACCCGTTGGAGGCGTGAGGTAACTGAGATACTGGGGTATAACTCAGTAGTAGAGCATTTTGGTTTTGGGGTTTTTTGTTTTGTTGTTTGTTTGTATAGAAATAGACTGATTGTCATGCAATGATCTTGTATGTTTCAGCCTTGATACCTCATTTATTAGTTCTAATAGTTTTTTTTTTTTTTAACTTCTTGCCTCCTTGCTCTGGCTACAACCTGTAACAGAGTGCTGAGTAAATGTTGGTTCTTCCTGGTGGTAGCAGATTAGCATAGTCTGATCACTAAACGTGACAGTAGGGACAGGTCAGTAGTGCTTTATACACCTGAGCAGTGAATTTGCCTTCCTGGGCTTCGCTTCCTTATAATTTTTTCAGTCCTATGATGTGTGTGTTTGTGTTTTGTTTTGGGGGACAGTTTTCTCTGAAGCTTTGGAGCCTGTCCTGGAACTAGTTCTTGTAGACCAGGCTGGCCTCGAACTCACAGAAATCCACCTGCTCTCCCTCCCAAGTGCTGGAATTAAAGGCGTGCGCCACAAGTGTCTGGCTCAGTTATATGATTTTAATGTAGTATGCTAGTAGCAATTAAAAATGATGGGGATAGCTTAGTAAAGGAATAGGCACCAGTGAGTGTGAAAGCCTGTGTAAACAAGGCAACCCTGGCAGAATGTACTAATCCTAATGCTGAGGTGTAGAAACAAGTGGACCCTAGGGACCGGCCAGCCTAGCCTGAGTAAGCTGCAAGCTAGTGAAGAGACCTGTCTCAAAAATGTCATTTCATCTCCGTGTGTGCAGACACACAAACATGTAAAACTGAATGTGGCCTTTCTCTGAAATTTATAAGAAGTTGCCTTAGAGGTGCCTTAAGGGCTTTTGTATTACAGAATAGGGCATGTTGCCCAAAGGCAACTAATATTGATGGCACTTTTCCTTTTGAGTAGTTGGTGGTAGCAATGGACTGAAAAGGTTTATTCCCCCAGTATAGAATGCTTTACTGGTTGAAAATTAATAGATAATGTGCTCTGTTGATAATTGTTAATATACTATAATTATTGATTGGGGGTTTTGTTTCTGGTTTTTGGAGACAGTCTGGTGTATCATAAGCTGGCCTTAAACTCACTATGTAGCTGAGGCAGAGCTTGAACTTCTGATCCTTCTGCCTTAGCCTCTCAAGTGCTGGGATTACAGGTGTGCCTACCACACCTGGTTTTATGATCTTATATTATTTACAAGGTTTCATTTGTGCCGATGTTTATATGCATTATTTCAGATAATCTGTAAAACCATATGGAAATGTATTTGTCAGGTAAGGTTTCTGGGTGGAATCATTTGTCCCCAGTTTTATGATAAAAGAGCTGGCTTTCTGAATTCCTAATGAATCCAGAGTCTAGGATCTTCAGTACCATATCAGGATAAGCTCCAACCTCATTGCTAGTTATTGTGACTTTTTCCATTGCACCAAAATTTGAAGGTAAAATAGGGAATTGTGCTGTTTTTCTGCTCTATTAGAATGATTAGAAACCTGATAACAAGAACCACAATATAATATGGATGTAGTGGCACAAACCTTTAATTCCAGCACTTGGATCTCTTGAGTTCCAGGCCAGCATGGGCTATGTAGAAAGTCCCTGTCCAGGGGGGTGGAAAAAGACAGCCTGGAAAGGGTCATTGCTAAGGTTTTTCTAACATAGATACATTGACAAGATAGCTCTTGTTCTCTCCCCTTTAGGTGTTTGTAAGATGTATGAAGAACATCTGAAAAGAATGAATCCCAACAGCCCCTCCATCACATATGATATCAGTCAGTTGTTTGATTTTATTGATGATCTGGCAGATCTCAGCTGTCTTGTGTAAGTATTAGCAACCTTATCTTTTAATTTGTATTTTTCTACTTTTGTCTATTGTTACTAGTTTTTCACTTACATATATATCAAAAATTAAATTGACAATATAAAGCCAAAGGCATAGGAAACTGCCAGTTGATATTGTAGGGTGAAGATAGGCTAGTTTAAAAGCTCCACATTATCTATGCTCTAAACCTAATAGTTTTTTTTCTGGAGTTTCTTGTCCTCTTAGGCTTTTCCCTAAAGTAACTGATTTCATGTTAAAACCAAAGTTCTTTGCTTGTACTTTAGCTTTAGTCCTAGCCTGTGTGTAAACTTGTTTTTGTTTCATTGGTGTGAGGTTTTAGATTTTAGTATTCTTATTATAGTTATATTTAAGTTTTATTGAGTAGTACTATTTAAATATTGCACTGTAGTCTACCTGTTGAAGTAGACTAAATTGGCACTTAATTAGGATGTATGAACAGAGACCAATCCTAGAAAATTATTCACTCTTAGAATATTCCTCATAAAGCAGCATTAGTAAACAACTGGCTGTTTCTTTGCATTTGGTAAGGTAAGGCATGTTAGGCAGTGGTCTGTGTGCTTGTAATAAACCTCTGGCTTTATCGTTCAGGAAAAAATAGGTATTGCTTAGACAAAGCATTCCTTCTTTGGAGTTTATTTCCATTATTGAAAACTGGTCCTGTACGTAGGGGTGCAAGCTTGTAATCCCTGAATCTGGAGGATGGAAAGTTTAAGGCTAGATAACTTAGCTAGCTCCTGTCTCAAAATAAAAGGTAAGAGCGGACTGGGGTGTATGTACCTCATCATAGACTGCTGCTTACTAGACACAAAGCCCCATATCAGTCTTTAGTACCATGAAAAAAAATAGCATGTAGATTTTTACGTTAATGGTTAATAGGGTTCTGGTGCCAGGGATATTTAGCAATGTGTGTGTGTAAAATGGTTGACAAGATTTATGTTCTAAAGAAAAAGAGAAGGAATATTGCTTGTCATCACTTAACTATTAAGTTGCTTCACTTTAAGTCTTGATTTGCTCACTTATTTTTTATTTTTAAAGATAACTGTAGTGGGCCAGGCGGTGGTACCGCACGCCTTTAATCCCAGCACTCGGGAGGCAGAGGCAGGCAGATCTCTGGGAGTTCGAGGCCAGCCTAGTCTACAAGAGCTAGTTCCGGGACAGGCACCAAAGCTACAGAGAAACCCTGTCTCGAAAAACAAAACAAAACAAAACAAAAAAAGATAATTGTAGCTACTTGCAGGATTATTTTAAAAAAAAAAAAGATTGAGTTAATTCGGATACTTAAAGTAATACCCTATGCTTGATAACGTCTTTAATTTTAATAAGTACTATTGATAGTCTAATTTTTTATGTGTATGAGTGACTTGCTGGATGTATGTCTGTTTACTATGTGCATTTCTGGTGCACATAGAGGACAAAAGAGGTCAAATGGAGTTACAGGTGGGTATGAACCATCATATGGGTGTTGGGAATTGGACCCTAGACCTCTGGAGACCAGAAAGAGCTTTTAACCACTGAGCCATCTTTACATCCCTGCTCCCATTTGGCTTTTTTGTTTCTCAAGACAGGGTTTCTCTGTAGCCTTGGCGATCCTGGAACTTGCTCTGTAAACCAGGCTGACCTTGAACTGATCACCTGCCTCTGCCTCCAAGCCCTGGGATTCTGTACCACCACACTTGGTGTTTGTCTGCCTTTTTATACTACAGGGTTTTGTTGTTGTTGTTGTTATTTTCTGTGTATGGTATTTTGCCTGCATATGTTTGTGTACCATGTGCATATAATACTTTTGGAACTGAAATATTGAATTTCCGGGTACTGGAGTAACAGAACCTTGTGAGATGCCATGCGGATGTTGGGGATCAAATCCAGGTCCTGGGCCGAGCAACCAGTGCTTTTAACTGCTCACCAAGCTCTCTCTCCAGTGCTATACTGCAGCTCTAGTGTGTATTCCTCACCAGATAGGGTTCAGTTTAAGGCCAGCTGCTCTGTTCAAGTCCCATAAAATTACCTTGACTGGATGGATGCTCAGTGTCCTGTAGGCACTGAAAACCTTCATTGTCAATAGAGTTCTACTGCAGCTGGTCTTCCCTTCTTCTGAAAGATGTGTCCTTCTGAAATTTTCCTCTGTAGGCCTTTGGCTTTTATTTTAAAAGGCAAGTCTTAAACTATGAGTTCCTTAAACATTAGCAGAAAGTTGTTGTTAAAGTAATATTCTTTTAGAGATTTCTTAGTTGATTCAAAACAAATCTAGCAGATCTAAAGCTTGTACTAGAGTTTAGCTTTTGCTTTTATTCACTAAAGGAACTTTGAAAATAGAAATATGTGAGAGAGAGAACATGGGTTTTGGTCAGTAGGTGTGTGACAGAGTGCTTAGCTCTGAAACTTGACTTCTTTTACCATCATAAGATTATACTGGGTGATGCAAATCTTCATTAAAACCACAGCATTGTCCACTTTGAAATCACGTTATGTGTGAAAGTGCACGTATTAAAGCCACTCGAGGGGAGTTATAATGTGTGCTTTAACTGACCACGGTGACTTTGCATGTTTCTTTCTGTTCCTCAGTTACCGAGCTGATACACAGACGTACCAGCCTTATAACAAAGACTGGATCAAAGAGAAGATCTACGTGCTTCTTCGTCGACAGGCCCAACAAGCTGGGAAGTAGTTGAGTTAGAAGCATTAGGGGCTGGGGGTGGGCTTGGAACAGGTGCATACAGCGTGTTGTAGTGAACATTTTGTATGATAGTAATCCTGTTTCCATTTTGTTACGCTAGAGCCAAGATTGAATGTATGACATGGAACATGAATGATACTTTCATTCTGAAAATCACCATTATTGCCCCTTTACTCTTTTTCTTTTCTTTTTTTTTTTTACTTAAACATTTTTATGATAATTCAGAGAGTGTTCTTTGCCATTTAAGGTTGGTTCCAGTCCTTGAAACTGTTGGTGTCTGCTTTACAGCAGTGAGTGCACTAACCCCTGTGAGGGGTGGGGTGGTGACAAGCTTGGTTATGTCCTCTGGGAAAGTCTTAGTGAAAATAAAGAAATGTTCTGTAGTTGTATTTCTCATTGAGTGTTTTGGTTTTTTGTTTTTGTCTCTGAGCATTGAATACTGTCTGGAAAAGCCTTAACAGTTTAAAATCAGTAGGTTGCTACACAAAGAACTTGAAAGTTTATGTATTTGGACCCATTTTGCTGTGATTTACTTATATGAAGCTAATGAGCTTTTACCTCAATTTTCCAGCAATCAATAAATCTCAGTTGAAGTGACAATATTTGTATCTACTGTGGGTGCAAACATAAGGTGCTTCTGGAGTCAGCAATGGAAATATCTCCCTTGACAAGTTGGAAATAGTACAAATGCATTTAGCACCCCAACCTGTGGAGCATCACAACTGCAAACAGTACACTGGATTCAGTGCCTTCCTCCCCCATGACTGTGGCTCAATGCAGCTCCCTTCCCGGCATTACTTCCGAGCATTAGACCTGAGAGCGCTAGCTTGTAGAAAGAATTCAGAACACAAAATGTTCCTCTTTCACAACATCCTAAGTTGGGAACACTCTCCAAGAGTCTCTGGGAAGTCAGAGTCTGCAGCAGGGAATACTAACTATCCACCCTTCCGTGGAAGGTATTAGGGTGAGGGGAGGATCACAGAAAAAGCACAAAGCCGTCTCAGTTGGAGTACGGTGGTTCTGTTATGTCTTGAACAACAACTGTCCTCGTCATTGAGTACTGCATACTCCTAATTCTGTTACTTCCCCAGTGGTCAGCGTCTTCACACACCATGAGGTTGATAGTTTACAGGGAGGCTGGCTCATGATCTGCCTACTGTTCCTTTTTCCCTGCTCCTCTCCCTATATTAGACCCTTAACTCTGTTTTATGCAAAATAAATTCAGAAATTAATGGCCATCTATTGCAGTACTGCAGATGAACTTGAGGCCTTTACACATTGAAGTCATGCCCTCTTACCACTGTGCCTATCCCTGCTTGATCGTAATGGAAATATCACTCTGCCATAGACTTATCTAGGGTACCTATCAGAATTCTAGTCATGATGTTCACCGGGAATTAGCCTGACTTAAATCTCAAAAGACATAGCTACAGCGGTCACATCAGGTGGACATTTTTCCACAGTACCTGTCCTGCTGACGTAGTTCTCATGGTCTTGGCTTTGTTTAAGGTGGAACAGCAGATAGGAAGGGATCGGTACACTTCATTCATACAATGTAGTGTATGATGTTGGACATGGAAGAAAATGTTTCAGCCATTTCCAGTGTCATACATGAGAGGTCAAAGTGGCCTCTCAGGGTGCTGGTAAGATGGCTCAGCAGATAAAGGTGTTTGTCATACAGACCTAGCTTGATCTCAGTAACCTGAATAAAGTTGGAAGGAGTAAACTGATTCCATACAGCTATCCTCAGACTTTCCAATTGAAAATAAAAATTTTTAAATTTAAAATATAATTTTTTAAAACAGTCTTTTAAAGTGAGGTCTGTAATAAAACTTACTGGTTCGATCCAGCTATTACCACTGCCCAGTGTTGGCAAAGATAGTTACAGTCACTGACTTTTCTCCATAAGTAAAACAGTTTTGATTTCTGCTGCCTAAGACTGAGACTTGAAAAACTAATATGCCTTGTGCTATATACCTGAGGGTTTCTAAACTGTTGATCATGGCTGTCTCTGTCTTCCAATACCTGATCTGGGAGCTCAGGAATATTAAAGGGAGATTTCAGCTACCTCATTTCTCTTCCAGTTGTTTGGCTCAAAAGACTTGCAGCACAGGCCAGTGAAGTGGCTCAGCAGATGGTAAAGGCGCTTGCTGCCAAGCCTGACATCCTGGGTTTAATCCCCAGGACCTACATGGTGGAGGAAGAAAACTGACACCCAAAAGTTGTACTCTGATCTCTACATGCACACTTGTATACCCACACAGATGATAATAAAATTGAGGGGCGGGGGGTTCCAGCAAGTTGCAATAGCCTTGTCTGAGTTGCAGTGTTGGGTAGGAGTGGTGGTGAGCCATTTTATGTGCCGCAGGGATGGACAGTTTTATCCTTGTTATGAAATGGACCAGACTGAGTTGGGAGAAAGGTCAAGATGGTTCATTATCACATCAGCTTACATGAAGGTGAGCTGTATTATTTGTATCTTGTAGTATTTGACAAAACGAGTCAGTTATGAGTGCTGTCTACTCAACACTGCTCTGTAGGAAACCCTTAGAGATGGACAGTTTTTACACCAGCTTGATGAGACTGGCATTAACTTAGGCCAACATTCTGCTGCTTAGAAACCAGGGTTAGTCTCATCATCATCCCTGTAACACATTATGAAGGTTTTTGGTTTTTTTGTTGATTTGGTTTTGGTATTTTGGCTTTCTATTTTTTCCTGTATCAGGGTCTTCCTCTACTGTCTTATCTGATCTGGCATTTGATATGCATCCTATTCTAGGATCCTAACTAGAATCTGCAGTCCTGCTTCAGCCACCAAGTACTAGGATTACAGGCATATGCAAGCATGTTTGCATTTATTTCTATAAAAGATGAAAAAAAAATAGAACCAGGCTGTTTGAGTGATTTGCTCAGATTGCATAGCAGTAGACTTTGCTAGGTGGAAAAGACAAGATTTTAACCTCAGATCAGAGCTGGAGACTACAAAATGAATAGCTGTGAGCTACATAATGCATCTGGCTGCTGTCATGGGCCTGATCAGACTCAAGCACATAGATTCACAAGACACATCACTCAGTACTAACTTACTCATAAGCAACAGCATACTGACTGAGCTGTGTTAGGGTTACCATTGCTGTGATGAAACACCATGACCAAAAGTAACTTGGAGGAAAGGGTTTATTTGGTTTATATATCCTGAATCACAGTCCTTTGAAGAAAGCCAAGGCAGGAACTCAAATCCAAGGAAGAGTGATATGTACTGGCTTGCTCAGCCTGCTTTCTTAGAACACCCAGAACCACCTGTCCAGAGGTGGAACCTCCTGCAATGGACAGGGTGCTCCCACATTGATAGTCAAGAAAAAGCTCTACAAGGCTTACCTAAGCCAGATCTTATGGAGTCACTTTCTCAACTGGGGTTTCCTCCTCTCAGCTAACTCCAGCGTGTGTTGAGTTGACAGGAGCGGGCAGCACATCAGCCTGGCAAGTGTTTCTCTTCTGTGTGGTGTTCATCCATCTTCCCAAGGATTATCCTCTGCACAAAGATAGAGCTCATGTACAAGAGATGACGTGTGTGAGAGCCACCTGGTTTAGATACCTCATGCACAAGTGTCACCTCTCATAGCCGTGTAGGTGTCTTAGACCAAGCTGTGCCCAGGCATGAAGAGTCACTACTGAGAGAAATTGTTGTGTGATGTTTTATTCTTTTGGCTCTTTTTCCGGGGGCCCGCCACCCTGCTCCCAGGTAAACACATGGAGGTTTGTTTTACTTAGAAATGCCAGCTTGACTTGTTTCTAGCCAGCTTTTCTTAAATTAACCCATCTGCCTTTTGCCCCAGGACTTTTTCTTCTGTACATCTTACTTTCACTCTCTGACTGGCTGTGTAGCTGGGTGGCTGTCAGGGTCCTAAACCATTTCTCGTGCTAGAGTGGAGGTGTGAGAATTAAAACAATTCACATGACTAGATGGGAATATAGTGATCTTTCAAGAAGTCCTGAACTCATATCCTGAAAAATCACCCATGTTTATTCTCCAAACAGCTTTTATATCAAAATGTAAACTGAGGGGGAAGCTCATTAGCATTATGTTTCCTAGGCAGCAGGGAGAATGACTTAGGTCACTGCCATACCTATGCCTGTTCTGTCACATTCTGAAAAACACCTCTTCCTAAGTGGCCTCCTAAATTACAATAGGAGGAGCAGAACATATCCTGACCCTTTATTGGGATGGCGTCAGGTTGTCTCACTATCAGAAGGCTAGGCGACTACCTTCTATGTGAAAGGTGCAAATTGTGCCTTGCCAGGTCGCTCAGAATTCTGACTGCCATAAAATGTAGGAATATGGCCTGTATAATCCGGCCTCTACAGGTAGCTGGCCCTTAGCTTTCTCCTCTCCTTGTTCTCTCATTGCTCCTCCTCTTCCTCGTTCCTCTGTCTGCCATCCCCGCTTTTCCTTGTTCCTGCCTTGCTATTGGCTGTTCAGCTCTGTATTAGGACCATCAGTTGTTTTAGACAGGCAAAGAATCACAGCTTCACGGAATTAAACAAATGCAGCATAAACAAAAGCAACACACCTTAAAATAATATTTTGCAAGAAATAGCTGTTCTCCCTCCTTGAGTCTGTAATTTCCCCCGTTTAGGTATAATTTGCCAGTTGAGGGCCATTATTTCCATAATAGGCAATCTTGTCTAGTAGCAAATTATTCCATCCTCTCAAGAATAAAGCTGAAAGCCAACCCACAGTCAAGTTTGTAGAGCAGAACTTGTGTCAACCCCTAATCCGCACTTGAGGAGTTTAAGGTAGAGGGCACATCTAGCCGGCTCCACGAAGGAAGCTCCTCTCTCTAATTCTGAGGGATTTGTTTCCGAGACATTCTAACTGTTGCCAAACCTGGCCTCAAACTTGTGGGCTCAAGTGGTCCTTGTCTTCTATCTCCTGAGCAGCTGGAGTCACAGCCTGGCTGGAGGGCGGCTTAAACAGGACGTGGACGGACAGGAAGATAGGGCAGGCAGGGAGGGGATGTGGCCTTGGATAGTAAGCCACCGTGCTTGGTTGGAGTAAAGCGACCATATAACATAGATAAAAGTCAAAACTATGGCCACAGGGCCTTAGAAATCAAGCTAAGGCTTAGGCTACAGGTAGCCTTAAAAGATTTTTCAGTCATAACCTGTCAGGTCTTTGCATGAGAAGGAGTAAGCACTCTGCTGTGTAGATGACTGGAAAGCCAGAGAATATAAAATCATCGAAGTCAATCCAGGTAGTTTTCAGTGAGGCAGGTAAGATGAGAAATTACAAAAAGGCTTTTGACTTGCATTTCAGGAGCTCTCGGCCATGCACTTTACAAGACAAATAGCACGTTTGCAGGTAGAGTACAGGAGCGTGGTGTGTGAT